CCTGGCCCAGCCCAGCCCAGCCCAGCCCAACCCAGCTTTAGAAATAAGGGAGACTTCTGAGGCTTCTGGCCAAGATGGAGGCATAGGTAGTAGACGCACTGTGCCTCCTCACACAACCAAAAGGTCAACAAGAAATTTAAAAACAAAAAACAACCAGAACTGACAAAATAGAACTGTATGGAAGTCCCACAACCAAGGGGTTAAAGAAGAAACACTCATCCAGACCAGTAGGAGGGGCAGAGATGGGCAGCTGGGCTGAGAGGACTTGCAACAAGGCAGCAGCTAGAAGACCCCAATAGGTGGCAGCTGATGGAGTGGGCAGTCCCACATTGGCTTGCAGATGAACCGGGAGGAGTAACTGGGGAGTGAGACAGGCCTCACAACCCAGGGTCCCAGTGCAGGGAAATAAAGTGTCAAAGCCTCTGACTGAAAACACTGTTGGGGGTTGAGACACCAGAAGAAACTCCCAGCCTCACAGGAGAGTTCGTTGGAGAGACCCTCAGAGTCCTAAAAAGTACACAAACCCACCCACCCAGGAATCAACACCAGAAGGGCCCAATTTGTGGGAAGTGAGGGGAGTGACTGAAAACCCGCAGAGTCGAGCAAGCAGTATTGTTCCCTCTCGGACCCCTCCCCCACATACAGCATCACAGCCCAGCAATGGGTATTACCCCACCCTTGTGAAAATCTAAGGCTCCGCCCCTTTACGTTACAGGCTCACCAAGACAAAAAAATGGCTCAAATTAAAGAACAGATCAAAGCTCCAGAAAAAATACAACTAAGCCACGGAGAGGTAGACAACCAATCAGATGCACAGTTCAAAACACTGGTAATCAGGATGCTCACAGAATTGATTGAATATGGTCACAAATTAGATGAAAAATGAAGGTTATGTTAAGTGAAATAAAGGAAAATGTACGGGGAAACAATAGTGATGGGAAGGAAACTGGGATTCAAATCAAGGGAGTGGACCAGAAGGAAGAAAGAAAAATTCAACCAGAAAAGAATGAAGAAACAAGAATTCAAAATAAATAAATAAATACATAAATACATAAATACATAAATAAGGAGAGGCTTAGGAACCTCCAGGACATCTTTAAATGTTCCAACATCTGAATTAGAGGGATACCAGAAGGAGAAGAGGAAGAGCAACAAATGGAAAACTTATTTGAACAAATAATGAAGGAGAACTTTCCCCAATCTGGCAAAGAAAATAGACTTCCAGGAAGTCCAGGAAGCTCAGAGAGTCCCAGAAAAGTTGGACCCAAGGAGAAACACAAGGCACATCAGAATTATATTAGCCAGGATTAAAGATAAGGAGAGAATCTTAAGAGCAGCAAGAGAAAAAGAGACCGTTCCTACAAAGGACTTCCCATCAGACTGTCAGCTAATTTCTCAAAAGAGACCTTACAGCCAAGAAGGGGCTGAAAAGAAGTATTCCAACTCATGAAAGGCAAGGACCTACATCCAAGATTGCTCTATCCAGCAAAGCTTTCATTTAGAATGGAAGGGCAGATAAAGTGCTTCTCAGATAAGGTCAAGTTCAAGGAGTTCATCATCCCCAAGCCCTTATTATATGAAATGTTAAAGGGACTTATCTAAGAAAAAGAAGAGAAAAAACATGTACAGTAAAATGACAGCAAACTCACAATTATTAACAACCACATCTAAAACAAAAACAAAAGCAGACTAAGCAAACAAGTAGAATGGGAACAGAACCACAGAAATGGAGATCACCCCGGTCACAGTATATATGAGTATCAACCAGTAAATGCATGGATAAGTGGAACAACAAATCAATGTTCTCTCTCTCTCTCTTAAAAAAATAAATAAATAAAAAATAAAGTAGCATCCCACACTTTTCTTGCTTAATTTTTTCCAGAGCACTGATCACCATATAACATACTACATGACTGGTCAATTGACTCATATTTATCTGTCTCCTCCCCAAGATTGTCACCCATGAGAGTGGGGATCTTGGTCATTGCTGTATTGCTAGTCTCTGAAGCAGCGTCTAGCACAAGAGAGAATTTTAATAAACCCCAGGTCAATGAGTGAATGAACTTAAAACCATGGTGAAGAATTTTATTTTATTTTTTACTGAGAGCTGATTAACATAATGAATTTTATTCTAAGTGCAATGGGAAGTTAAGGGAGCATTTTAAGCAGGGCAGGGATCTGATTCAGCTCTGTATTGTGTCCTCCCGGCCACATGAAGGGAAGAGCTTGCAGGTGGATTGAGCACAGGGACACCAATGAGGAGGCTGCTACAATGGTCCAAATGAGGGTGGACGGGACCAGGGTCTTGTAGGAGGAGAGAGCTGTGGAGGAGGGACAGTGGTAGTTTGGAGGAAAACAAAGTTGACAGGACTTACTGTTATGAATTTGACTGGGGGAAGTGCAAGGCAGGGAATCAAGGTTCCAGACAGCCCCAGGTTTTCTACTAGGGATGGGGATTCAGACATGGCTCCTCCGGGCATGAATGCCCCAAGGATCTTTCCCCAGCTCTCCCAAAGGCACTGGAAGGGATCCAGTGGCAAGCAAAGGAAGGGGCCAGGGTCTGAGCAGTAGCTCCCTTTCCTGGTGGATGATGCCAGGATCTGGTCGGAGACCCAGGAGTGTTGGTGGTTCACAAAGCTGGGCTGGGCTGGGCAGGCAGCCTCTTCCTGCCTGATTGGCAAACGAGCTAAGGACTTTTGTGCGGGGCCTAGTCAGCAGGGAAAGGCCCTAGAGCTAAGGGCCATCGGCCCCATACTGCCTGCTCCTGGTGGACCCTGAGAAACCTCCCAAAGCTGACAGTCCCAGGCAATGAGGCTTAAATTAAGGGATCCTTTTGTCAGTCATCTTTGAGGCCACTTCCTGGCAGCCATTCAGAGATGGTGCAGTAATAATGGCTATCATCTACTGAGGGTCAAGGGGCAGCAGGGCAGAAACTCAGAGACGGCAGGAAGAGACCTGCAGGGGCTCTGAGTGAAGGGTTATAGCCAACGGGCTCTCCACTTCTGCACTTCTTGGGATTCTCCAGACCACAGTCAGACATGATTAAGCACTGTGTCCCATTAATAGTGCTGCTTAAATGAACCAAAGGAGGGGTCTATGTGCTCCCAAGGTGGGAACATGAGATCCAGGGACGTCTGGACGTGACAATGGAAGCAACTGACAACAGTTCTCAGCCCAAGCGAGCAAGACAGGCTACAAGTTTATGCTCTTAAAGTTTGCCAAGGTGCTGAGTTTTTTCACGTGCATTAACTCACAGCAACTACCAAAGTGGGTACCCTCACCAGCTGTAAAAATGCAGCACAGGGTAAACAAGCCCAAAGGCTACTAGGCTGGTGTTTGAATCAGTGTTTCTCCAGAGCCTGGCCTCTTAGCTGCTCAAAGGATGACGATCTCTAAAACCCAAAACAGCCCTGGCTGCTGTTGATCAGTAGATTGAGTGCTGGCCTGTGAATGAAAGGGTCGCCGGTTCAATTCCCACTCAGGGCACAGGCTGGGGTTGTGGCCCAGGTCCTCAGAAGGGGGCACATGAGAGACAACCACACACTGATATTTCTCTTCCTCTTTCTCCTTCCCTTCCTCTCTCTAAATAACCTTTTAAAAAAGAAATATAACTATAAAAACAAAACAAAGTTGAAGGCAAGTTGGCAACATAGTACAAGATGTGGCTGCCAAAGGAGACACAGGTTCCTGCCTCTTCCTGGCAGTGGGATGCGGCCAGTCGTGCAGGTGATCATCCTACCCAAGGACACCTGTCTAGTGGATGAGAGTTGTGCCCACCCAATCAAATGGGTGGGTAGCAACATCCTTCTTCCCCCCTTAAAGCAGGCTCTGGAGTCCTGAGCTGCAGGAGCTCCCTTCCCTGGCGCCCAGGGTTTGGACACGCCCTGGTTCCTGGCTCCCGCCCAGGTCCGGAACCCAGGGCAAAGGGTGTCCCGCCCTGCTTTGGCTCTCGAGTCCTGTCAGTGCCCGGAGGATGGGCGGGAGTACAGGCAGATCAGGGAGGGTTGGCAGGGCTGGCAGCTCAGGCATTGCCACCGCTCTTCACGGGCAGAGTCCACTGTCCAGGGTGGAGTGGAGTGGGGCTCCCCCCGGGCAGCAGCAGGTCCGCAATACGGGCTTGGCATCCACCACGGCATTTTATTTCCTCCATTTCCCCCCAAAGGCAGTCAGTGTCCGCCCCACCTCTTCCTGCACATAAGCACAGAGGGGAACACTTGTTCAAAGTTCTTGTGCCAGATGCCTGGGGTATCTCGTGTAAAATCGGCAACAGACCCTCGCCAGAGGGATGTGAGCTAGGCCTCCTGACCTTTGCATACCAGGATTTGGGGAAAGGAGTGCATGGCCTGGCTGAAAAATCTGAATTTCCTTGTAATGTCTCTCCAAATAGAAGAGTGCTGGGAGCCAGTTTGCAACCTTGGGGAGAAACTCAAGTCTAAACTCAACAGTGACTCCTATTTGCTACATGCCAGCAATGGGCTAGGACCCAGTCCAAGATCTTTACTGGCAAGAGCTGGTGCACAATTCTCCTTTTCTGAGGAAACTGAGGAACAGGGGCAGTCACTAGACCAAGGACCTCCGAAGGGTTGAGCAGCATTCAGAATCCTCCCCGCATATACCCCTCTAGCCACTTCTGCCTGTATTTGTGAGGCCCAAGGGCAAAAGTGTGCCCGTCCTCACCAGGACCCCAGGAGGCCCACTGCTGCTCAGCTGGGTGTTCAGAACAGAAAAGGCCAGGCTACAGCCAGCTGCAGGCAGGGCTGGGCTCCTGGCCCATTCACTCTCCTCCTTGCTGACTCATCGCTGCCAGACCTCCAGGTGACCTGACAGATCAGGAAGGTGGGGGTGGAAGGTCAGTTGCTGGGGTGGGGCAAGCAAAGGTAGATAGGAGACAGAGCCCGGCCACTGGGGGGCCCCAGCACAGGGCGACTGAGGCCTGCTCCCTAGCTCCCTCTGGTGGATGAGAGGCAGAGTTAGGAAGCCAGTGAAAAAACACCCAAGGCTAAGGCAACAAATCTTTATTAAACACCTTCAAAGTTACTGAGAGGAGGCCATGATGCTGGACACACCTGTAGAGAAGAAAAGGGGGAATGAGGGTCAATGTGGGGAGAATGGGAGGCGAGGTTCCAGTTACCAATGACGGCACCCACAGTTCTTTAGAGCAATAGATCACAACCTCTTCTGGAGGCCTAGTCACCATCACAAGGCCAGTGTGGGGCAGTAGTTAAAAGCCTAGACTCTGGCCCTGGCTGAGTAGCTCAGCTGGTTAGAGCATCATCCTCATAGGCCAAGGTTGTGTGTTTGATTCCTGGTCTGGGCACATACAAAAAGCAACCAATGAATGCATAAATAAGTAGAACAACAAATCCATGTTTCTTTCTCCCTTCCTCTCTCTAAAATCAAGCAATCAATTAAAAAAAACAAACACAACAAACAAAATCCTGGACTCTAGAACAAGAAGACCCAGATTCAAATAGCTCTGCCAGCTACCAGGTATATGGGTTTACTCACCTGTAGGAAGCATCTATCCCATGGAAAAGTAGGGTTCAATGGTATGCCAGGATTAAATGACATGATTAGAAAAAGGCCTGGTGGTGTTATTCATGACTTTAAAAACAGCATGTACTATCTGCAAAACACTCCAAGTGCTGGACTTGCATCTCCTCACTGCAGAACCTTTGCTCCAGCAAGCTCTCACACGGACAGGCACATGTCCACAGTCCCCAAGTGCCCACTCAGTCCGGTTCCCACTGGCACCAAGTGAGCTGGTCTGTGCTGAGAAGCCATGCTGTACCAACGCGTATCTTTTTAAAATTGATTTGAGAGAAAGAAAACATCAAGTTTTGTCGTTTCACTTAGTTATGCATTCATTGGTTGATTCTTACATGTGCCCAGACCAGGGACTGAACCTGTAACCTTGGAGTATTGGGACAATGCTCTAACCAACTGTGCCGCCCAGCCAGGGCCTGTCTTCTCCACACTTTAGATGAGAAAACTGAGGCACAAAGTCACACAGCCACAAGGGACCAAGATTCCCACCCACTAACCTGACTCCAGAGACTGCACTTTCTGGCTTTCTGCTGCATTTCATTAAATGCCAGGGTGGAGACCCTGGGAGACCCCACAACAAAGGAGAGACAATAAGTGTGTGGGGACACCCCACAAGGTCCCTCCAGGCCCTGGAAGTTCCAAGGAAGGACACCAGTACCCCCTGCCATCCCTTCCCAGGTGGCAGCTCTGTGCTCAGGTCAGTGGAGTCCAGTAGATGTAATTTCCTAGCCTCGAGCCAGAACGTATCTACCTGGGTCCGGGGCCCAGCCCTGGTCTCTGTGGAAGGGCACCCCCTGCCCCACACCCTGAGGCCTCAGGGCACCACTCACTGTCAAAGTCAATCTTCTCCACAATGTTCTTGGGCTTAATGCTCTCTTCCTGGCTACAGATGAAGATCTGGCCTGACTCATCAGCACTCCAGCCGTACTTGCTCATCCACACCTTTAGCTGGCTGTCTGCAGGTGACACAGGCAATACAGGGGCTCCAGTCACCCCAATCCCACAGTACCAGGGGGCCTGGGAGCCAAAAGCCAGGGCACCCGCCTTGCTCAGCTGCCTCAGAAACCGCCAGCATCTTCTATTTGGACAGCAGCAGCAGCAGCCTCTCTGTGGCAGCCTGTGCTTCCACAGCTCGTTCTCCAATGGCCGCCAGGGGGAGTCTTTTATCTTTCTCTTCCTTACCCATCACAGGGATTTGTTAGTATTTACTTATGTTTTCTTTCATAACCTACATGAAATTGCTTCAAAATCACAATGTCATCATTACCACTAACAGTAAGTCTATGGCATAAAGTTTAAAAACGTCTTTGCAGTTCATTTTGCCCTTGGAAAATATGCCACAGAGGATGTAATTCTTTTCTATGTAACCATTATCAATTTGATACAGATTCATCTGCTTCTTTTTATATTCAATTCTAAGGGTTGTTTCATCCCCTTTTGATTTAGTTTCACTTTTAAGTACATCGAACAGCTGTGTGATATGAAACAGTACAGTATCTGACACGAAGTGTGCAACAAAGTTCACGTCCATTAAAAACAGTAACGACAATGACAAGCCCACAAAAAAAACTACCTGGATCAAAAGGCAAAGCTGTGCAAGGTCCTCAGAGAAATCTCACTGCCCACCCGCCCCTCCCTTGTCTCGCCCCCACCTCCAGGCCATTTCCTTAGCTTTTATTTCCTTGTGTCTCTTTTTGCAAAAATGGTTAAACACACACACACACACACACACACACGCACGCACGCACGCATACTTTCTTTTCTTTTTAGAGAGACCTTTTAAAAACAAATCTGATCACATCCCTCCCTGCTCACAATGCTCTGTGGCTCCATCTCACTCAAGGTAAAGGTCAAAGTCTGGGAGATCTCCCTCCCACCATGGCCTCTCGGCCCTCGGCCTTGCTTCCCGCCCTTACTCTGCTCCAGCCACGGGGTGAACAGGACAGGGTGCTCCTGCCTGAGCATCTGTTACGCTACCTCCCTGAGAACAAATGTAAGCCACTCTCTTGTTCACAGCCATGTCCCCGGGGCCTAGAACAGTGTCTGGCACAGAGTAGGCATTCAATAATTTATGCAGAATACATGAACGAATATCATAAACCTCCCTTGAGGAAGTGAATGTATTATACCAATTCCTTATTTTTGTTCTGGGCTGGACCTTCCATAACCTCTGGTTAAGGAAAGGATGAGTCCATCAGAGGAGCTGGCTCAGGCCCACTGCCCCTGACCACCCTGAACCTCCGAGACTGGCACTAGGGACCCAGAGAGGGCCTTACCTGTCAGGTCCCCAAGCATCTCGGCCAGCAGCCAGCGATCGATGTGCTGATAAGTGATGCCCACGACATGGCAGATGACTACGAAGGGAAGGGACAAAGATGGTAAAGAGCCGAGGCTCTCCCGCCCCGGCGGGACCCTGCTGCCACCCCCGACTCCCTTCCCTTGGTCAGGGACTCAGGCTCAAAAAGGGACTTACATTTCCGGACAGAATCTTCAAACCCAGTTATACCTTCCAAGAGGTCCATGTTTTCATCCAGGGCTTGCTGTGAGAGGAACGACGAAGTTACCACTAACAGTACCAAGGATGCTAACAGTAGGATGCTACCAGTAATACGTTACCGGGACAGGGTGCAAACACTCGAGCATGTTCCCCACACGCCCGCCATTCTTCTCTACGCAGCCCCGCAATGTAACAGCTACTGGTTTTTTTCCTTTTTTTTTTTTTTAAGATTTTATTTATTTATCTTTAGAGAGGAAGAGGAGAGAGGGAGAGAAACATCAATGTGTGGCTGCCTCTCATGCGCCCCCTGCTGGAAACTGGCCTGCAACCCTTATGGTTCGCAGGCCCGTGCTCAATCCACGGAGCTATGCCAGCCAAGGCCACGGTTACTGTTTTTACACCCATTTTAGAGAGGAAAAAACCAACCCCAAACTGTAAAGCGATTTGCCCAAAATCAGAGCTGGGGTTTGAACCTGGCAGGCAGAACCCGGTCCCAGAGAGGTGGCAGACATGGACTAGCTAACTGCACTCAACTGCCTCACCTTGTTCCTGTCTCACTCAGAGAAAAGGCCTCCCAGGTCCTGCCATGGACCACGAGGCCCCAAAGGATCCCTGCTCTCGTCTCCTCCCACTAACCCCCTCACTCCAGCCACAGGGGCCTCTGCACTGCTCCTGGGGCATGCCAGGCACCTGCCCACCTCAGGGCCTTTGCACTGGTTGTTCTTGTGTCTGGAACTGTCCTCCCCCCAACAGCTAGTACCCTCACCTCCTTCTCTGCAAGGGCTCCCTCAAACCTTAGTGGGGGGAATGAGAAAGCCACAAGCCCACCAAGTAGCAGCCAGTGAGGTAGGAGGCAAACCGGGAGAGCAGTTGTCCTAGAAGCCAAGTGAGGAAAGGATCTGAGGGAGCAGTGGGTGACTGCCTGTCCAGGGCCTGAGAACCACCTACTGGATCTAGCAACGGGGAAGTCACTGCTGACTTCCACACAGCAGTTCCACGGTGCGTGTCAGTGGTGGGGAGCAGGGTCAGAGGGATGGTCACACAAGTCTGGGGTGGATTCAAGTGACCAGGGGGAGCAGCACAGACTGAGCACGGGCAGCCTGTCGCAGGGTCAGGTGACCAACATCCCGACCTGCCTGAGATGGAGGGGCTTTCCTGAGGCAGGGGACTCCCAGTTTTAAAGCCCGGGCAAAATGGGCAGCTGGTCCCCGAGTCAAGAACGTGGCTGTAATGGGGCACAGAGAAGGGGTCGGAGGCAGAGCTGATGGGAATGTGGAAGCGAGGGAAAGTTCTCTTCAACATTCTGCAGACGCGTCCTGTGGTGACAGAAATAACCCAGGAAGGCCATGTTGGCTGTTACAGGATAGTGGGCAGAACTGCTGTTGTGATGCCTGAGTGGGTACAAGGAAAGGGGGGTGGCCTGAGATAGGAGGGACAATGGACCCTCTAAGAACAGCAGGGTGCCCTGGCTGGTGTGACTCAGTGGACTGAGTGCTGGCCTGAAAACCAAAGGGTCACTGGTTCGATTCCCAGTCAGGGCACATGCCTGGGTTGCAGGCCAGGTCCCCAGTGGGGGGCATGGGAGAGGCAACTAGACACTGATGCTTCTCTACCTCTCTTTCTCCCCGACTTCCCCTCTCTAAAAAAATAAAGTAAAATCTTTAAAAATAAATAAATAAAAACAAAAGCAGCAGAGTGTTTGGTCAGCTGCAATGGATGTCAGGGCCAGGCCGGGGACACGTGTGAGTTCTGCTTTTGGCTGCTTCTATTTTCCCACAAAACAGGCAGCCAGATCATAAGGTGAGGTGAGAAGGATAGGGTGGGGGGCAGGTATGAAGGGCTGCCCGGGAGAGGGGGGAGGGAACCACCCCCCCCCACAAGAGCCTCGGTCAGAGGGATGGAGGACTGTAGGCCTGGGCCGTCCTGCGCTCCGGATGGCCTTTTCTCTAGCCTTGCTCGTCATTTCAGCTACAGAGGGGTGGTAGGGGTGGTGGTGGTGGTGGTGTGTGTGTGTGTGTGCGTGCGTGCACATGCAGAAGTGGGGAGGGACACATGATTTACAGTAAGGAGAACTGGGCAGCTCAGGAATGTCAGGCTGGGGATCTCACAGGGAAGAGCTGGGCAGCTAGGAGGAAGTGGTCAGAGGATGGAAACAGTTGCCACTCCCGGCAGAGGAGAGGGCAGTTATTGCTGAGGACAAGTTTAGGACAGTGGTTCCCACTTGTGAACCTGCAGAAGTGGAGGATTAGGCTCCAGTTGGAGCAAGAAAGGGAGGGTGTTCAGGTGATGGTGCGCTTTTGCTAGAATACGTGCGTGTTAGCCTGAGCCCTGTAGGCACAGGGGGCCTCCTGGGAGTTCTGACTCTGTGTGAGGATGACGATTCCATGAGATCATGCTCGCAAAGCCCTTAGCACAGGGCCCATCACCACTGGGCAGCCAACAATGGGCACGGTCATTACTTTGAGCAGTCTGCTCCGTGTGGCCCGGTTACCCATCCTGCCCCTGCACTGAAGGAAGTTACCCAGAAGGCCTGGAAGTGGCAGGTCTCCAGCAAGTCTCCAAGGTACAAGATCTGTCGGATGGGCCGCTCTTCTTGCTGGAGGAAATGTTAAGGGAAAATGGTCCAGAGCCTAGCCTGGCCCCACCTGCTCCCCGCAGCACAAGTCGTTATGACAAAAGGTGAGAGACACCCGAACAGTCCAGCGATGGACACAGTTACACCAGTGTTGGTCCGTCCACAGGAAATGAGCCAACTCCTACAGAACGTGACAAGATGCAGCACAGGTACAGCAGCCTACCGTTCCAGCAGGGGACACGTGTGTACATGTACACACACAGCTAAACTTATGCATCTACAGGATACCTACGGAAAGGCCCCCAAGAACAGCAAACAACTACTGCCTCCTGGGAGGGGAGGGGTGGCCATGGGACGGGGAGGGAAGAAGCCTTTTTGTCCTCTGCACACTTTTTCTGTATTTGTAACAGTATACTACATGCCTAATTTTTTCTAAACCGCCAAAACAGAACCTGGGGGAAGGTGGACAATCTCTCAGCAGGCAGGCACACCCGTGGACACTCCTGGCAGAACAGGCTCAGTGAGTACATGGCCATTTCTCAGCTCAGCTACTAACGGGCAGGCAGGTGTGGTAGGCCTGGGACGGCAAGTGCTTCGAGCCCAGGGCCCAGCACAGACGGGGGCTCCACCGAGTTTCTCACGCAGTTAAAGGGAAGGTGGAGGCTCTCCCGGCCAAGTCTTAGTCCACCCACAGAAGAGCCGGTTGGGGATCCATTCAGGGCTTCTTCACTCACCATTTTTTCTTTGAAGGCCAGCACTGTGCTAGGCGCCAAGGATACATAAAATGAAGTGCAGCCAACAATCCAGCTCTTCGTGGCTTCTGTCTCTTGCCTGGTGGTCTTTACTCAGCTAGAATCCTCATGGGAATCTTTCTAAAGCATAAATCTACCCCCGTCACTCTACAATTTTAAAGCCTTCCATGGTTCCCAGGCGCCCTTTTGAGTTTGACCAAATTCCACTTTGAAAACTATGGCAGGGCTATGCTGAACTACGACAGACTTTAAAAAGACAGCACTGAGCCCTGGCTGATGTAGCTCAGTGGACTGAGCACTGGCAGTGAATCAAAGTGTCGCTGGTTCGATTCCTAGTCAGGGCATATGCCTGGGTTGCAGGCCACATCCCCAGTAGGGGGCATGTGAGAGGCAACCACACACTGATGTTTTCCTCCCTCTCTTTCTCCTCCCCTTCCCCTCTCTCTCTAAAAAAGAAAGAAAGGAAAAAAAAGACAGCACTGAGCTCCTTTTCCTCCAGGCCTCCCTATATTCTGTTCCCTTTGCCTACAACACCCTTCCTTACTGCTTCACCTAACTCCTCATCTTTCAGATGGTCCCTCCTCCAAGAAGCTCTCCCTAACATCCAGGCAGGGTCAGGTGCCTCCTCTGGCCCCCCTTAACCTGAGCCCTGACTTTTCCACGTTGTCAGTGATAGGAGACCTGTCTCTCCCACTGGACTGTGAGCTCTGGTGAGGGCAGGGGATGGGTATCTGAACCAGCACAGGGCCCCAGCCCTACCCAGCACCGGGCCAAACCCAGGGCAGGCATTCAAGCGTCTGTGGCTTGACTCACAGACCAACCACTTTCCTGTGAAATGATCTCTCTTGCCCCTGCTCCCTCCCACACACACCTGGGCCCGAGAGCTGGAAGGATACGTGGGCCTGGTCGATCATGCACTTGCACAGAGTGAAGTCAGTGTGCGGCAGGTTGGTGAGGGCCTTCAGCAGGATCTGGGCGGTGACTGTGGTCTGAAAGAAGGCTGGGTTGAACTGGTACCTGAGAAGGGGAACAAGAGACACAGCGACAGCTGGCATCTCCAGGTCCCAGAGTCTCACCAGATGTGAGGCAGGCTACACACTCCTGAGGGCCAGAGCCTGGTAGCTGGACATGCCTGGGCTCCGATCCTGACCACAGCACTCTCTGTGAGACCTCCTGACCCTGCTTCCCTTCTCTGTAGACAAGGACAGTTAATCCCCACAACCACCCAGTAAGACAGACACTGTTAAATGATTCACACATGAGTACACAGTAATAGTCTGGAATAGTGCTTAAGGGCTCTGGAGCCAGGCTGCCTGGGTTTAAACTCCCTTGCTTAGTGACTACGGATTACTTATTTTAAATTCTCTGTGCATCTCCCTGACTGGTGTGGGCTGAGCGTCATCCCGCAAACTGAAAGGTCACAGGTTCAATTCCCAGTCAGAACACCCGCCTGGGCTGAGTCCAGGTCCCTAGTTGGGGGTGAGCGAGAGGCAACCAATCAATGTTTCTCTCCCTTTCTCCATCCCTTCTGCTCTCTCTAAAAAGAAATAATTAAAACCTTTAAAAAATTTTTCTCTGTGCATCAGCTTCATCCCTTGGGCAATAGAGCATCTAAGTGAGCTCAGAGCACAGCAACTGCCACATGGCGTCTACTGACTGAGTAACGATTATAACCAGTAACATCTCAACAGCACAAATACAATGTCATTGTATGCATTTCACAGATGTCAAAATCGAGGCTATGCAATCTGTATAAATTACACAGCTGGCAGTGTGCCAGTAAGGTCCTCAGGGGGAACAGCCCAAATTTCTGTTAACAGGAGAACGGATAAGTATGACAGTCACATGGGGGAACACTGTGCAGCAATGACAACAGAAAACCACAGCCGCACAGAAAGCGGCTGGATCTCACTGACCCAGTGCTGAGTGGAAGTAGCCAGATGCGGAAGAGCTCACGCGGTAGGGCTGCATTTGTGTCAAGTTCGAAGCAGGCAATCCTGAGCACAGGTGATCAGGATGCATGCGTGTGGTAAACTCACACAAAGCCAGGCCATGAGAACACAAGAGTGGTCACCAGGGTGGGCAGTAGGGGTGGCTAGCACAAAACACAGGGGGCAAAGAGCCTGGGCAGCTAGCAACACTCAACTGTACAAATGGTGATCACATGGGTGCATTTATAATTATTTGCTAAACTATATACAATCCTCTGTATCCACAAAGGACCCCCTATACCAAAATCCACAGATGTGTATCTCTTGATTACTTACAATACCTAATATAAATGCTATGCAAATAGTAGTTACACTGGATTGCTTATGGAACAACAAGAAAAAAAGTTTGCACATGTTCAGTACAGACATAACCACAGCAGGCCTAACTACATAGCACATGACAGCAACATCACATTTTGGGGGGGAACATTTCAATACTGAGCTGAAAAATGTTTTCAATCTTTCTACTTATGTGGAACCCATAGATATAGAGCTAACAGTATTTACATACTGGCCTGTATGTGTGTTTTGCAATGAATTCTTAAAAAACCATCCGTGCTGCTGTTCTAACTTCCTTGGCTTCCTAGCCATGACACCAAAAGATATTGCATCCAACCTGACAGGTATAGCTCAGTGGATTGAGAGCTGGCCTGAGAACCAAAGAGTTGCCAATTCAATTACCAGTCAGGGCACGTGCCTGGGTTGTGGGCCAGGTCCCTGGTATGGGGCACATGAGAGGAAACCACACATTGACATCTCTTTCCCTCTTTCTCCTTCTCTTCCCCTCTCTCTAAAAATGAATAAATAAAATCTTACAAAAAATAAAAAAAATACTGCATCCTGCAGGCTACCCCCAACTCCTGCCCCACCCAGTGTCGGGAGTGGTACCCTGCTGGCTGCAAGCATGGGGCTGGGGTTGGAGGCAGACACTCACAGCTTCAGGACAGCCAGGTTGGCTTCCAGATCATAGGCATTCTCCTTGGCCTGTGTCTCCACATAGCGCTCCAAAGTGGCCAGATTCTCAGGATTGTATCTAGAGAAGAATCAAGATGGATGAGCAGAGAGAAGATAGGGGCTGAGGCCAGTCCCTTCATTTGGGGATGGGGTGGGGTGGGCACAGTAACCTGCTCCTCCCTCCTCTCCTTCCCTTTAACTTTGGCACTGGTCACTTGCTCTACCCAAGTCTTGAATCAGCTCTGTAAACTCTAATAATAAAACTTATCCATATCCCAGACCTGAGCCTAAGCTCTAAACCCCATCAGAGCCCTGGGTCTAATGCCTAGGATGCCTCTCCAGCCTCTCAAGTCGGTCACTGCAGCCTGTATGTCTGGGCTGCTGGACACCTTTGACACCCACCCTGGTCTAGCCCCATCCTCTCCTCCCTAGCTTCCCCCATTCCACTTCTGACCAATCTGCTCCTGCTTCCCCCATCACAGCTCTGACTGCTCCCAGCTACCACGCACTACTGTCGCCGTCGTCCAGACTCTGAACTGGGAACTCCATGCAAGTACAGCCGGCAAGCTGTCTTGGTCACCTCTGATCCCCAACACTGCCCAACACTGACAGAAGATTTTAGTGAACATGTTTTGAATGAATGATACGAAGGAGGAAAGAAGGAAGAGATGAAGAGGCACTGAGACACACCGTGGGAGGATGAGGAAAGGAGGGGGAGGGAGAGGCCTTCAGGCAATTAGAGAAGAGTGGTAGGCACGACTATCTCCTGCCGCTAGGCGCTAGCAGTGGTGTTTTCCTTAGACATCTCCTCCAGATGACTGGCAAGTCCCACCCCAGGGCAAGCCCAGGATTGTTGACCACCACTCGAGATCCCCAGAAATCCTCCTCCACCCCGCTGGGCCAGAAGCGCTCCCTCCGACCGGGCTCAGACCTGTCGATACCCTTGAGCAACTTGCCCACGTTAGCTCTCATCTGCTCAAACATCGCCATGACTGCTGTCGCTTCCCAAACGGGGGACAGGGTCGAAGATACGGCCAGTGTGGTGTCCAGAGGACCGGAAAAGGAAGAGGTGGCGGAAACGGAAATACGTTGCTCTGTCGCTCCGGCCTGGGAGGCACTAAAAAAGGGAGGCTCTTGCAGTGGCTGCCATACTTTCCGGCTGCTCGTGACTTCTTCCCAGAGGGCGTGGTTGGCGCGTGCGCGCACGCTCCGCCCGGACTGGACCAATGCATAAGAAAAAACCGTAGTTTGGCAGAGTGAGGCGGCGCTGTCTCCGGGCGAGGAGGCGGGGCTGAGCTGTTGCCGGGTGTCGCGCTGTGGTCGCCAGGATGTGCGCGCGAACTCGCAAGGAAGGAGGGGAACATCTGACGGCGGGTTCGCGTTTCTCTTTGCTCGCGGCATTGACCTCACAAAACTACTGGAATGAGCGCAGTAGTCGTCTTTTTGGGCCATGGCCGAAGCTCCGAGGGTCTCTTTGTCCCAGGCCTTGCCCCATGAGGCAGGATCCTGAGCTCTGTAGTTTCAAGTACTGAAACTGGTACCCACACTTCACCCTAACTCCTGGAGTAGGAGCCTGCAAAGCTGTTGTGATAATCTGCCCGGAAGGGGTGAGGGGCTCCTGAAACCCGCCAAATTGCACCCTGTCCGCAGACTACAGTCTTGTGGGTGAAGTCGAGTGCCCCATGTGTGCTGTCAAAAGTTATGTGGGTACAGCTCTCGCCCTGGCTGGTGTGGGTCAGTGGATTGAGTGCCAGCCTATGAATCAAAGGGTCACAGGTTCGATTCCCAGTCAGGGCACATGCCTGAGTGGTGTGGCAGGGGTGGTAGGGCAGGTCCCCAATGAGAGGCAACCACACATTGATGTTTCCTTCTATTTCTCCCTCCCTTCCTCTCTAGAAATAAGTAAATTAAAAAATGTTATGTGGGTACAGGAAATGTGGGTACAGATTCTGCTCACTGCATTCACAGGCAAGTGTCACATATGTGGAAGTATGTGCTGTGGGTACACACACATTGTGCATGTGTGTATGCAGGCATGGGCACTGGTCTTGGCACTGCACAGGGGAGTTTCACTAAGTGCATGTCGGTGCCCAAGGTAAACACTAATGTACAGTGAATGGTCGTCCCTGTGCAGGGCCATCTCTGGGTTGTGGCCGGACTCATCCAGCAGAGTTCAACTGTGGTTTTTAGCCACCACCCAGAGTGGGGGAAGGGGTGCCGAGGTACCCACCAGATCACACTTAAGGTAGTTTGCATCTGATTTACATTCAGCCCAGGGCCATGAAGGTGGAGAGGGGTCCCCTGGGTCCCAACGCAAGCTGCCCCTCACAAGCTCTCGGGGCCCAAGGGACAGGGGGTGGAGCCAGCTGCACAGCCCTGCGCTGGGGCAGGAAATGAGAGTGGGGAAGGGGGAGGCCACAGCCAGTGGAGGCAAGGCGGGTGCAGGGTGTGTGGGGAGGGAGGGAGGTGCCAGCTCTCAAGCTCTGAGGCCCTGCTGGCCCCTGGGCACAGGCCCAGCTCCGGCTCCCAGGAATGGACCTCGTGGACCCTGACATCTTTAATAGGGACCCCCGAGACCACTACGACCTACTGCAGCGACTGGGAGGCGGCACCTATGGAGAAGTTTTCAAGGTGAGGACACTTCTCCTTCTCCATCACCCTCCAGCCAGTGGCCTTTGAAGGGAAGGGGTTGTGAAAGGGTCCCAGTCCTTGATGTTGGCTCAGGGATGCTGAAGAGGAATTAAGGGGGAATGGAGCCTGCCTGACTGTCAACTTCCCCTTTACAAGGCCCGAGACAAGGTGACCGGGGACCTGATGGCATTGAAGATGGTGAAGATGGAGCCCGGTGAGGAGAGGATTCAGGAGCTCCTTCCCCACACCCCCACTTCCACCTCCTGGGGCACCGGGGTCATCCCCGTGCTTCTTCCCTGCAGTAGACCTTTCTCTCCCACCCCTCCTCACAGATGATGATGTCTCCACACTTCAGAAGGAAATCCTCATCTTGAAAACTTGCCGGCACGCCAACATCGTGGCTTACCATGGGAGTTATCTCTGGTAATGAGCCTCAAACCTGCCCTGGACCCAGCCCAGCCCCTACCCTAGGGCCCCCATATATGACCAGGATGCCCCCAACCTAAGCTCCAGTCATGGACCCCCATTTTAACTGAGTCACCCCTAACTTGATCCCCAGTCCAAAGTTCCACTTTTCTGACCAGAACATCCCCTAATCTCTAACCTTCAATTCAGAACTCCCACTTGGGGCCAGGGGTCCCAAAATTGAGCTCTTCGTAGTAATCAAATATGAAATTAAGTCCCCTAAAATGAATCTTTCACTATTATGCCCTTTGGTTCCCCCAGTTTTACTCTCTGCTCTTTTAATATGATCCCCTAATTTCCCTGACCCCCAAATTAATATCTCAGATGCCTCAATAATGACTCCGTCCCATGGACCTGGCACCCTGGGCCTCTGTTTCCCCTCTGAACTTCCTCAACCTGAGAGATCTCTGCCCTGTCTCCCAGATTAGCATGGGACAGCAGAGGGTGCCCTGGGTTAGGAGCCCAAAGACGTGGGTTTGAGGCCAGTGGATCCTCACTGTACATTTCCTCTTTGAGCCTCAGCTTCCCCACCTATAAAATGGAAGTGGGATGACTTTACTCTGTGGGCAAGGGGAGGTACAGAGATGACAGCTGTTACATGAAGAGTTCAGAACAAGAGAGTGAACTGGGGTCTGTGCAATAAAAAATAACTTTACTGCTATTATTATTAGTATCATTGTTGTGGTTGTTGTTGTTACTGCTAAACTGTTGTAGGCTGCAGAAACTCTGGATCTGCATGGAATTCTGTGGGGCCGGTTCTCTGCAGGACATCTACCAAGGTGAGTAGAAAGGCAAGTGGCCCCAGGTGGCCCCCACCCCTCCAATCCACCTCTCCGTGTCTGTGTCTCCTGGAACTGTTTTCCTGGTCCACGTTTCACACATTGAGCCCCTCCTTCGGCCCCGGGCTTGGCCTGGATGATGCTGGGGGCACCGTGGTTACCAGGTGGGCCCTGGGCCCTTCCCACCAGGACCCGACAGACCCACCAAGACCCAATGATCTTTTTGTGCGCAGTGATCTTTCTACTCACCCCTCCCCATCTCCCTCTGCGCCTGCCTTTTCTCACCGAGGTCTATTTGTGCTTGAGTATTTCTGCATTTCTGGCTCATGGTGGGTGCCTCCATTTTCACTGAAGAGTGAATGAATTTCTGATTCTTTCTCTCAGACTGCTTTTCACTCTCAGAGAATTTGAGGGTGGGGTGGAGTAGCCTGTGATCGCTTCTCAATTTTTCATGCCCACCTCTGTCTTTCACCATCTCCCTGTCTCCGTCCAGCCCAACACCTCAAATGTTAGAAAAGGAAGCAGTTTGTTAAGTTCTCAGTGGGGCCCTGACTGGTGTGGCTGAGTGGGTTGGGCGTCATCCCACAAACTGCAAGGCACATCGGTCACTGGTCAGGGCACATGCCTGGGTTGTGGGCAAGACCCCTGGTTGGGGAAGTGCAAGAGGCAACCAATCAGTGTTTCTCTCCCTCTCTGTCTCCCTCCCTTCCCCTATCTCTAAAAATAAATAAATAAAATCTTAAAAAAAAGAAGTCCTTTGCGGGGAAACTGAGGCCCACAGAGAGGAAGTGACTCACACAGCCAGACTGTCAGGGCTCCTCTCTGTCTACCTCTCCATCATTTCTGCTCCGCCCTCCGCCTCTCTCTTTTTCGTGGTGCCTGTCTTCCCACTTTTTGGTCCTGACCATCTTTTTTCCCCCATCCCAATCTGGATCTGTTCCTGCTTCTCCATCTGTCTCTTCCTCATTTTACAAAGCCCTGTACCCCCTGCTCGGAGCCCTCCCATGGCTTCCATTTCCCTCTGAAAAGCCCACTGCTCCTCACAATGACCCCAAGTCTGACCGCCACTGCACCCCCAAGCCCAAGCTGAACAACCTCATCTCTGGTCTCCCCTCTGCTCCACCCACTTGGCTGTTTTGCAGACCCACCAGGGACCCTCCCGCCCCCTGGCCTCTGCGCTGGCTCTGGGTCCCACTCCAGGCAGGACCGCTCACATCTCCACCCTGTCACCCTCTCGGAGCAGCCTCCGCTGACCTCTGTAAAATGTCATAGCCTTCCCACGTGTTTCCTGTTGTCCTCTCTCGCTTTTTCTTATTTATCAGCATTTTGTGTGCTGTGTGTTTTACTTATTTATCTGGTTTACGGTCGGATGTTCTCTCCACGAGGGTAGGGATCTGCCTCTTTTATTCATACCTGTGTCCCAAGTGTCTGGCACAGTGCCTGGTACACACAGTAGACACACAGCACATGTCTGTTGAATGAATCTGTCTCCTTTTGGCTCTGGTTCCCTCTGTCACTGACCACCCCTCCACCTCCCCTCCCACTTCTCCCATCCTGTACCCGCCACGCCCCACCCCCATGGCACCCTCTCAGCCAGTTTGGACTGGGACCAGGGGCTCCCTGGGTCGGGTTTCCTGGTTCCCAGCCAACACTGTGCCGGGGTGACCCTTGCAGTGACAGGTCCCCTGTCAGAGCTGCAGATCAGCTACGTCTGCCGAGAAGTGCTCCAGGTAAGGAAAGGCCTGCTGGGCCTGGGCGGGGGCAGGGCCCTGCTCCAGCCCCAGGCTCTCACAGCCCATGTTCACCCCTCTCCGCAGGGACTGGCCTATCTACACTCACAGAAGAAGATACACCGGGACATCAAGGTGGTCTAGGGGCAGAAAGGTGGCCTTGGTGGGTGGGAGCCCCAGGAGACGGGAGCGCTGTTTCGAAGGCTCGGGGTGGTATTGCCCTGTGGGGTAGCGGTGGGGGGTGGAGGCAGGGCCGGGCTAGGGGTGGTGGTCTCTGACAGCCTTCCACCCCTCCTCCTTCTCCCAGGGAGCCAACATCCTCATCAATGACTCCGGGGAGGTCAGACTGGGTGAGTGTGGCTTGGGGCTAGAGAGGCAGACCGGCTGAGGGCTGCAGGGGGATAGAGGACTGCAGGCCACTGTGTCTCTCCTTCTGCCTCCAGCTGACTTTGGAATCTCGGCCCAGATCGGGGCAACG